CTTATAATATTAAGAAACACTCTAGTCTACCATACCAGCACAATGTCCCCCATTTTGATGTGGTACTGGCATGTTACTGTGTTTCATTCTGAGCAATGCCATTGTAGTATAGGAACAGGTAAGACTGAATATTTCATTTCTATGGGTTACATAAACCATTGTGGTATAATAATTAGGTGTTGGACGATCTGTGGAGGTTGAGATTCAAGTCTATCTCCCTCTCCCTCTCTCTCCACCCTCTCCCTCCCTCCCTCCTTCTCCCCCCTCTCCCCAATCAACCTCATAGCATTGTGGTTATATGGAAAAAATGGAAGGGGATGTGCTGTGTATGCTACCTTCAGCCCTTGGGTTGTGTATCTACTAATCAATCATATCTGTTTTGAAAGCAATCTAAAATGATAACTTCTTAGCAAAACCCTCCTTACCATGTTAGTTAGGGACATTTGATTCAAAAACTTATGGATGTTCAGAAATGTATATTAAATTTGAATGTGGTTGGGTCACATTAAGTATGGTTTTATTGACTAATTCCACCCCCAAAAAAGTTTCAGGTAATATAAAAGTGGGATTTTGTATTTCCACTTTTACTCTCTGTCACTGAGGAATGCAAAATATGAATAAGAGAACATTAAATACTTAAAGAGAATTCTAAATTTTAACAGGGAGGAGATAGCAGCAGTACAGTTAGAAAAGGTGGCTTAAATTTTTTAAGAATGTTGCAGAACCCATTGATAAGAAATACATGTGTGGTTCCTAGTTCATTCAAATGCCATGGTACCAGCAAAGGAGGGGAAAAAAACTCCAGAGAAGTTCCTGAGACAGGAAGTCTAGTCCTGCCAAGAATGTAATAAGGAAAGGCAGTTTCTGTAAGCAACACCAGAATGTTTCCTTCCTTCCTTCCTTACAGGATTAGACCAGTAATTTCTTCTAACAACCAGTTATCTGAACTGCTTAGAACGTTAACTGGTTCTAGTGAATAGGTGCGAACTGGTAGAATCCCATCCCTGATACCAGATCTTAGTAACAATTCCCATGACTGCACAAAGTAAAGGAAACTATGGGCGAGCTGGCTTACATCTATTCCTTGGGGGTTCAAACCTGCATCCACAAGAAAGCAAATTGATATTTTGCTTCAACAAATGAAACAAATGATATTGCATAATATTTGTACAGAGAAAAAAAATAGTTTATCCCCTAATGTTATATCCTGAAATTATATTTCTCAAAAATGTATGAATAGGACTTTGAAGGCAATAAAAGATTTTATTATCCAGCTGCTCACTCAGATACTTAAATATATATTTAGAGAAGAAAACCATACAAACATTTAGATTTGATATGTATTATTGGCAGGATTACATTATGTCATTTTGTGGCATTATGGAGTTATAAATACTAGCAGATCACCTGTTTAAGGCTTTCTGTGAAAGTAAATATATATCCATAGAAAACTAGAATTTGAAAGAAAAGTTATTCTTGCAGGCTAAGTCTAAATAGTTATCTTATTACCTGGGTTAGAACTCATTCAGTCTCCTGGCTGTGTGCTCAGCCCATACAGAGCCCTATTTCAAACAATTAAATTTGCATATACAATGTACAAGTGTCTACACTTTTACGAACCTAATATTGTACTTTCAATTTACAGCAGTTTTTCCAAAATTTTCTGAAATGCCTTCTTCATATCTTTGTTCCTCAAACTGTAGATGAGAGGGTTCAACATAGGAATCACCACTGTATAAAACAAAGATGCCACTTTGTCTTCTAGTGCATATGTAGAACTGGGCCGTAAATACATAAAAAAGATTGTCCCGTAGAATAAGCTGACAACAATCAGATGAGAAGAACAAGTGGAAAAGGCTTTGGATTTGCTCGTAGTGGAGCGGATCTTCAGAATGGTAGACAGAATGCAGGCATATGAAATCAGAATGATCAGTGTAGTACTTATGCAATTTATACTTACTTGCACAAATATCACTATCTGATTAATGTGAGTATCAGAGCATGAAAGTTTTAGCAGTGGAGGAATATCACAATAAAAATGATTAACTACATTTGGTCCACAAAAGGGTAAACTAAAGACACACACAATATATAAAACTGAATAACAAATGCTTAGAACATATGAAACAGCTACCAGGCAGAAACACCATTTTTCTGACATGATGGTTGAATAATTCAGTGGGTTACAGATGGCCACGTACCGATCGAAGGCCATCACAGCCAGCAGGAGACATTCACTGCTCCCACAAAGGACACAAAAAAACATTTGAACTGCACAGCCAAATATTCCAATAATTTTCTTCTCCATTAAAAAATCCACCAACATTTTAGGAGTAATGGCTGATGAGTAACCAGCATCAGCAAAAGCCAGATTACTGAGAAAGAAATACATAGCAGTGTGAAGCTGGGCATCAAATCTGATTATAAAAATAATCCCCAAATTCGCTACCACAGTAATGATATACACAATAAAAAACAAAATGAATAAAGGGAGTTTGAGTTCAGGCTTACTTGTAATACCCAGAAAAATAAATTGAGTGACTCTTGAGTGATTGAACAGAGACTTCTCCATCTATCTGAATTTCCTGCTGAAGATAAAAAAATACATATTTATTAATATTTGGGTATTAGTAAATATTAGTTGGTATACTGACTTGAGCCCCCCAAATATATACGCTTATTCTTTAGCAGTACTATATTCATTCAATTCAGACCATTATATAAGTAAAACAAAAAGTTAAGCCATCACTAGGTCACTGGTACATTGTGTGTGCACTAAATATCCTTTAATTTATTTATTTATAATTTTACCTCTTTTGGGACCTCTAATGTTCTTAGATGTGATATGCCGGGGAAATTAAAATCAGGGAGGAAATCTTGACACATCTCAAAGGCGTACTTTTAGATCAGATCAGGAAACCTCCAGCCTAAGGTTTAATGCGGCCACTGAGTCTTCCTCAGTGATGTGCAGCATTTGATCCTAATTGTGGACCTCAAATAGAAATCAGATTCTTTTGGGATCAGAAGTTTGTTTGTTTAGCAAATCTAATTGCATGACAGCAAAGGATTCTTTATGAGTGTGCAAGTGGTGAAGCTGCAGAGGGAAATGTTTGCCCTATCTACTAACTGTGATCCCCATTTGATCCTCCCCTGCATGGCAATTACTTTTAAAGAAAGCATCCCAGAAGATCCATCTAAAGGAGTGGGGGGATTCTTTGCAAGTTTAATTGCTGCACTGGGAAATTTCGAATTCTGGAAATAAATGAGATGTATTGTGGTTCAGAAGGATTCATTTATGGAGGTAAATAAAGAATGTAGGAGTTTTGGGTGTGGTATGGAATTGTCCACTTTTAAATTTTGATTTGGGAAAATGTTTGATATGCATTTCTTAGAAGACTAATCACAAGGAACAGAACCATCAGAGCAAAATGTGTTTGGTTAACATATATGTTGTGATACAGACATAATGTGCCAGTGCCAGGTGAATGAGATCGCATGTTTCTTCACAAGCTATACATCAACAACTTCTGCTTGGTCAAATTATATTTTTGGGGTCAACATGCCAAAAATCATATCATGTAGATTATGTTGCTTTGTAAAAAGTGGAAAGTCCAATTTTCTGGCTGAACTTTTGCTAAGAAAATTCTGTGGAATATGTCTTTTTTCTGATTTAATTAAGCTACGCATTTAGCGATGGGAGGAAAACTCCTTTAAAATTAAGAAAGACAGCATGACTCTTAACATCTGCTTATCCAAAGCTTGCTTACAGTATAAACCTTCTGTAATCATGGCATAGAGAGTTTCCTTCATAATATATTATCTCTACTTCTTGGGTCTGTTCTTTCTTTCAGAAGTAAGACCTTCTGAATGCTAAAGATTTAATTCAATGTTATAGCAATAGCACTTAGACTTATATATTGCTTCATAGTCAGTGGTGGAATTCAATTTTTTTACTACCGGTTCTGTGGGCGTGGCTTATTTGATGGGTGTGGCTTGGTGGTCATGTGACTGGGTGGGCATGGCTTGGTGGTCATGTGACTGGGTGGGTGTAGTCAACTCAATGTCACTCACATCAGGGGGTGCCTCACCTGCTCCCCCCCCACCATTCCTTGTCACCCAGCCTCAACTTATCTATACAAAGTGCCCTCATTGGGTGTCATCCCAGGAAGCTTTTTTTAGAGAAGAAATGGTGGCGAAGCCAGACTGGCGGACCTATGTTAAAATACTATCTTTCAACTCTGGTGACCCTACACTAAAATCGGAAAAAAAACTTGAATCAGAAGGTTATGTTTGCCATTGGTTTACATATCAACAACTGAAAGAAAGATTAAAGAGTTGATTTTGTTAAGAATGAATTGGAAATCTTACTATGTGATGAACAAATTACTGCTAAGATTTATGAAATGTTATTGAAATTGAATTTGGAACATGAACATGTAAAACATTGTATGATTCGGTGGGCAAGGAATCTTGACTATAATGT